CTCCCCCCTAAACTGGCCCACGCTCTTCCTCCCCAGTAAAAAGATCTCACTGTTCTTCTGGGCTCCTTCCCCAGGCAAGTTGCTCCCTGAGCTGCTCCAACCCTATGCAGAACGCGTGGAACACCTGAGTGAGTTCCTGGTGGACATCAAGCCCTCCTTGACTTTTGATATCATCCCCCTGCTGGACCCCTATGGGCCCGCTGGCTCTGACCCCTCTCTGGAGTTCCTGGTGGTCAGCGAGGAGACCTATCGTGGGGGGATGGCCGTCAACCGCTTCCGCCTTGAGAATGTAACCCCTGAGGGAGACTGGCAGAGGGAGTGGATGGGGATGGGGAAGGCCACTGGGGGCTGTTGGAAGTACATGACCCCAGAGGAGGGAAGAGAGGGCTCAAGGTGGTGGGAAGAGGCAAGGAGGAACTTCCCAGCTTGCCCTCCAAGGCAAGCTTTACCTCTGGGTAGGCAGGGGAGGATAAGGCGATAGATTTGTCCTCATCTCGCCCCTCCTTCTCTCTCCTCACTCTTCCTTTGCGTCAGGACCTGGAGGAGCTCACCTTGTACCAGATCCAGCTGCTGAAGGACCCAAACCACAAGGAAAACGAAGAGGACAAAGTCAGCTCCTCCAGCTTCCGCCAACAAATGCTGGGAAACCTGCTCCGGCCTCCACATGTAAGCCTAACCCACCTGCCTCCCACCCCTTCCCCTGCATGGGTGGGCTGGGAATGCTGGAGAGGACAGACTGAAGGGTTCAGCCTCAAACCTGAGTCTGGGGACCCTAGTAACTGTGGGGTTCCCTCTTATCTACCCATAGAAGAGGCCAGAGCTCCCCCCAGGTTTCTACGTGATTGGGCTGACGGGCATCAGTGGCTCTGGGAAGAGCTCAGTAGCTCAGCGGCTGAAGGGCCTGGGGGCATATGTTATCGACAGTGACCACCTGGGCCACCGGGCCTATGCCCCGGGTGGTCCTGCCTACCAGCCTGTTGTGAAAGCCTTTGGAACAGGTAATAACTGGGGGGGGCTGGAGGTGGCCTGAAGTGAGAAAATGGCTGGCCTCCTTGCCCAATCCTCTGTCTCTGTCATCCAGATATTCTCCATAAAGATGGCATTATCAACAGGAAGGTCCTAGGCAGCCGGGTGTTTGGGAACAAGGTAAACACACACCTCTCCAAGGGCTCTGCAGCTGCTACTAGACCCAGAGGTTGGGACCCAGTGGACCTCTCTGGTCTGGCCCAGAATGCCAGTTTCCACTCAACTGTTCCCAACTGCCTCCTCCCTCGGGCTGGCTCCATCTCATCCGGGGGAGGGTAAACTCTGCCCATCCCTTCCATTCCCTTTCTCAGAAGCAGCTGAAGATACTCACGGACATTATGTGGCCAGTTATCGCAAAGCTGGCCAGAGAGGAAATGGAGCAGGCCATGGCTGAGGGTGAGTGAGCAGCCCAAGGGAACAGCTAAGCAGAATCTCCCTCGGGAGCTTTCCCACCCTAAATCAGACCATCCACTTTCCCTGGGACTGTGTTTCCTTGGCTCTCTGACTGGTAGCAAGTGGCAAGGTGCTGCTGGCAGTGACTGGGGTCTCCCCACAGGAAAGCATGTGTGCGTAATTGATGCCGCCATGCTGCTTGAAGCAGGCTGGCAGAACATGGTCCATGAGGTGTGGACTGTTGTCATCCCTGAGACTGAGGTATCTGGATCCCACCCCCCGCTCTATCCCCATTGTAGCCCGCATCCTGCTCTGAACCAGTGGGCTGATGAATGCCTTGTCTGCCCAGGCTGTACGACGCATTGTGGAGAGGGATGGCCTGAGTGAGGCTGCGGCTCAAAGCCGGCTGCAGAGCCAGATGAGTGGGCAGCAGCTTGTGGACCAGAGCCATGTGGTGCTGAGCACCTTGTGGGAGCCACATGTCACCCAGCACCAGGTTGGTGCCCAGGGAAAGGCTGGGTTGTGGGGAGGGAGTCTCCAGTGCATGCTTGTATGACCCTGTCCTCTTTTCTTCCCAACATTCTGGCCTGTCCAAAGGTGGAGAAAGCCTGGGCCCTCCTGCAGAAGCGCATCTCCGAGGCACCATCAGGCCCATGACTGACAATGAGTTCTCTGTGGGGCCAAACTGACCCCTGGAGCTGACAAAAGATCTAGTGATGACGGCGAATTGGGGCCTTGAAGCTCACCCTAGCTGGGGCCTAGAGGGCTCTGTGCTAAGCTGGGCAGGGCCTGGCTGGGCCTGCTGGACACAGGAAGCCTACCCAGCTTGCCAGTGTTTGGCCAACACTGAGAATGTGGCTCTTGGGGGAGCAGGCCCCCTAGCGTTGTTCCATCCTCGCTCTTGCCCACAGGTCTGTGGCACCCGTGGTGGGCTGGAGCCAGGGCAAACACTGAAACTTGTTACAGAATTAAAGGTGAATGTTGTTAGGTGCTGCCTGTATGGTGCTTATTACTTCCTGCTCCAATGCCTTTGGGTATCTTTGCGACCCTTTAGCCACAAGTGCAGGGCCCAGGCCCGAGCTGTAAGCCAGGAATGCAGTGGTTAAGAGCATGGCTTTTGAAGCTAGCCAGACTGAGGCCAGTCTTGGCCCTATCACTGACTAGCTGTGTGCTTTTGGATACGTTCTGGACTTTGTAGGTACCTCAGTTTGCTTAGCTTACAAAGTAGCATGACTTGGCTAACAGGCTCTTTGAAAGCGTCAATTCCACAACTATCCTGCCAGACTTGGGCTGGGCGTTGGAGGAGCATCCTACAACAAGCCACGCGGGGCCTCTGGCCTCACAGAGGTTGCACCCCGGAGGGGTCGGACGAGGTGGCCAAGACTGCAGGTCCGGGAAACTCGTCCCGGTCCTCGGGAGCTGGCTGGCCTCGGCAGTGCGCGTGCGCGCAACTCTGCGACACTGCGTACAAGCCTTTTGCGGGGAGCCCGGTTCACCGAATGTGCTTCATGTCGCGGCGGCTGGGACGCCTGCCCTGAGGAAGGGCAGGGACGGGCGGGTAGGACGGCCCCAAGACCGCCGGTATCAGCCCCGACACCAAGCCGGACTCCAGGACTCCACCGGCCGCGGCGGGGGTG